TGTACAATGAGGAATTGACATGGGATTTCAAATTCTTACTCTGTCTCTCTCTTTACATAAGAAAATACATACACACACACACACACACGTATATAATATAATTACTGTTTTTAGTCCTTTATTTTAGGTTTAGCTCTAATATACTTTATGCCCTTCTATCTGTAGTGAATCTATTGTTTCCAGTAGCAGGCTGATTTGTCTCTTTGATAAGCCCTGTGGAGATTTGATTATTCCAATAAAAATTCATTCACTTGGAAACCCACCCTCCAGCTGTTTACTCCCAGAGTCCCTGAACTACACTAATATTAGATTTGGAAGCATTGAACAATATTTAACAGTGGAAAGGCAGGCTTAGAAAAGAAGTATTTTTACCAATCTTTCATGGGGTAAAGTTGTTATGGAAGAGGTTTTGTGTCAGCCTGGCACAAAATCTTTATCAGAGAATATGGTGTAACGTTTCTCACTTCACTAATAAGCTAGTGATCTTTTTTGTAATCACGCTTCAGCCAAATTAAGCTAACCTCTGGCCTTCGAAGCCTATTGAGTCTTCCTTGCTCCTGGTTGTTGTTCATGTTGTTTGATAGCCTGAGGCTTCTTTTCTAAATGGAATGTGGAAGGACTTATTTAGGTAGAGCCACCTTCTTACCAGGAGATTAGACCAAAGCTTTGCAGACTCCTTGTAAAATAATTGCATCCTAGTTTACTGTTATCATTAACCACCTGCTATAAATCTCTTGGTGTGAGAACCCTAATAACTTTGCATTTTCAAAGGAAGATTTGGGGTGGACAGAATTTGTAAGTGTAGAAGGATTTGGCAGACAGTTTGGTGCTAGAAGTGAGAATTTAAAAATCAAAGTTTCTGCTTGAATCTGTTAGATTTTTTGAAAAATGTCATTCCAGCTTGTGTGGTTTTTCTTTTGCTTTTGGCAGGTCCTGTTAGCCTGAGCACACCAGCCCAGCTTGTGGCCCCCTCTGTTGTAGTAAAGGGCACTCTTTCTGTCACCTCCTCCGAACTCTATTTCGAGGTGGATGAAGAGGACTCTAACTTCAAGAAAATCGACCCCAAGGTGAGAAGATGAGGAGTGGGTTTCACTGTTAAGCATTTTTTTCTTACAACAGGATGGTGGGCTGCTGTAGGATAGGACTGGCATTGGTAAAATCTGACAGACTTAGTTTGAATTTCTTCTGCCTATATATGCAAAGCAACTATGTTCTTTAGCTTATGATTCCCTTACCAGCTAGTTAGATTATTGAAGTTCATTTAGATCCATAAGCAATTTCCACTTAATTGCGTTTATCATTAGCTCATTCTGGGGTTGGGGGAGAACCACAGGGAATAACATCTATAAATATATTTTGCCACAAATGGACTAGGGGTGAATTAAGCTACAAAATTCAGTGAGGTTGAGAGTAGAATTATTTTGTTTAGCCTTTATATTTTCTGGATATAATACCAATATATCACTCTCCTTGCTTTTGTCCTCATGACTTACTACTCTGTTGTGCACGCAAGCATGTCCTGTGTGTGTGTGAGATACCTCTGTTTCCCATTACCTACAGTTGATTTTACAAGGCACTGCATAATTTCCTATTCTTAAATGAAAACGTAATTTCCCCCTTTAAAATGTATTTCTGATTACTTTTCAGACCTTGGCAACTTTATTTTACTAAGAAACATTTGTGTCACATCCATAAAGCGAAAGCTAGATTTAGTTCATGAAAGTGAATGGTAGAATTTGTTCTGATAGGAAACAGTCATTTTAAAATGAGCATAATAAGCAACCTGTAGAAGAGAAGTTGCTTAAAAAAACTGGAATTGCTTATTTTATAGGCTGATAGCTTGTGTGTACGTATACACAGACACATATTTTTAGTTTATTGGTAGGAAGTTCTTTGGGTTTATAATCATGTGAATTACTAATTTTAGTGATTTAGAAGTATTTCAAAGTAATTACTGATGAAAATGTTATAATTTTATTTAAAACTTTACAAACAAATCATCTGTCTTACATGTATATCTATCTAGCACTTTGTTTCAGAATTGCTGCTTTTATTAAGATGGGATTTGGTGGACTATATGAGAGGAAGGCTGTGTTGGAACTGATTATTCTGAGTTTGAGAATTCGGCTAATTCAATGTAGAGAAAACTTTAATTGTGAAATTATATCAACTAGAAGAATTTCCTACTTTGTTACATGACTGTGGCTGCACTTGTATTTTAGTTTCTTTTAAGAAGCAAAGTTAACCAAAATTACTTAAACTCTCTAATTTCTGGTAGTTTGTATGTTTGAGAGGCTGAAACTTAATTCAGAATATTCTGTTATGCTTTTGGATATATGTGGCATAGAATCTAAAATGTGGTAAGATTTAGAAGTGTCTAATGTAATTGTTCTCAAGATTAGAATCTCTGCCAGTCTTTGCAATTAGGTTCTTTAAAGTTACTTGCTCCTTTTGGAAGAAGTTACAACTTTTATTTCTTGCTGATTTTATTTTGTGCAGCATCATTAAATTAATTTTTTCCCCTTTTGCCTGTGTAATATGAAGGTCTTTTAGCCTAATCATAGCATTTGTCTTATACCACTGGAACCTGCCTAATGTTATAGAAATCAAAGTTTTGCTAATTTATACTCTGAAAATTTTTCAGCCAATTATTAGAAGAATTTTTTATTTTATGTAGACATTGGTGCTTTTTGTAAATGACGACACTTATATTGTGGCCGTGTCTTTTGTTTTTGTTTTTGTTTTTGTTTTTGTTGGTGATACCTGCATTAAATTAAATAAGGTAAGAAAAAAAGACACTGAATTTGGGGAATTTTGTTCTTGTCAGGATTGAAAAACTTTTCCTGGAGTACCTGGAGGGAGATCTGTGTCTAATTCTATAAATACTTGTGTGCGTAAGAAAAAAAAAAAAGGTCATTTTAGGATGTCATTTTTATCTTTTAAACCAAACACTCTGCCCTTAAATCATTTCTTTGTAATTGTAAGCACCTACTACTTGCTTTGAAAATGTTCTTAAAAATCAGAACATTTTCCCCAGAAAATAAATTCATTTTTATTATGAAAAAAAATCATATATTTGTCTGAACCACTTAGTATTACAGTGAGTTTGTTTTACATATACAGGAAAAGAGATCAGAAAAAGATACAGTGTAGGTTGAAAGAGTAGAGTGATTTCAGAACTGATAAGATCAAAGTTTATATTTCTAAAACAAAACTATTTTTACTGGGGAATTTTTACCGGGGAGCCTGAGAACTTAAGCCCCTTTTGTCGAGTAAACTAGCCATCAGAGCTCTGAGTATCTTCCTTGTTTCTCATCCATCTTTGCTGTCCTGCCCACCATCCCTCCATATACTCCCTCCCTCCCACATGCACACTTCTTCCTGAGATCTTTAAAATTCCCTTTTTAGCAAATTTTTGTATACATCTCTCATTCATGGATTTTTCAATAAATTGAAAATTGGACTAATTCAAAGAATACATTTTAAGTATTAAAGGGTAATATTTGACATATATTCTGTACCTGTGCCTCATCATTAGCATATCTAAGGGAATATATAGAAGACAATATAAAAAAGACAAGACAAACCAAACTGCAGTTCCTTTGCGATGCTTTCAATTTTACCAATTTTTTTTTTTATTTTTAATCTGTTATTTTCTTGCATTAAAAAGGAACCTTTGTTAATTTAATTGAAGTGTTGAAATGAGTACTTTGGATTGTTACCTTAGAAAAGCAGAGAGAGTAATATACTTTCCCTGTATGTAAATTTTTGAAACAGCGATTTTTCTTTGGTCATAAAAATGGTATCAAAACCTTTTTGTTTAAATTGCCTATAAGCAGCTTCTGAATAATTCTGGGAATTTGATAAAAAATGATCTGAGTTATGACATTTATAACTAAGCCATTTTAAAAAATTGAAGTAATTTATAAATTTGGATTGTTCATATCGCCATTTGCTGGGGAAAAGGAGTATTGCTATAACCATTTTATTCCTTTTTGGTATGGTTGATTTAATTGTTAAGTTTTTATTATTTAAAGCTTGAAGAGGACAAATAATTGAAAGAAAAGTATCAACTGATCATGTTAACTATTCAGAAAAGATCCATAAATATTGCCTTTTTCAGACTGAGCATATTTTTAAGAAAATTATGGTGTAAGAAGGCAAATCTCTTTATTTTTAATGTGAAATAATTTTTTTCTATTTCAAAAATTAGGATCAAAAGCTTTTCTTCCACACAAAATGTTTTTTTTTTTTTTCCCCAAGCGTGAAAACAAGATATTACTTTAAATCTGAAAATCTACAGAACAAACAATATTATATTTGGGTAAAATTAATATCTGTTTTCCAAGGACGTGGGTGGGGGCTTATATGGTTAAATCTACAAAATGTGCTGTATTTGTAAATTTTGCAAATTAGCGTTCAAATGAAAGCTTCTTGCATTGAGTTCCTCAGGTTCACATCTTTACATTGTAAATTATAAATTGTGATCTCACCTGCCTTCATTTAAGAACAATCCACAGTCAATTACAATGTAAAGTAATATTTTTATTACTGTTTTCAACAAGACTGCTTAGGGTGAGGGGAGAGGTGCAAGAAAAGGAGGGACACAATCTGACATTGGCACTGAGATACATTTAACATCAGCAAAACTTTTTTTTAAAAGAAATTTTACATAGAATTAAATACTTTTTCTCACTTGGTGACAACATTCAGGCATCCCAGAACAAAATGAAATGAGAGGGAGGGAAAGAAAGGAGAGAGAGGAGAAAGGAGTGGGGGAGAGAAGGAAAAAGGGAGAGACTACTATACATTGATTTGAAAATGTACCTTGGGTTTCATTTTGTGGTGGCAAAGCCCGATTGCTTCTTTTGTGTGACCTTTTAAATTCACATTGTTTGGAAGAAAAACGATCACTTTTGTGCAAGAATGTGATTTTGTTTGTTTGGTTGGCTGGTTTGCTCTCTTTTTGTTTGCTTGTTAATTAACGAAGGTCTTGTGACTGCTTCCTGTTTCGTTCAGGTGGCTTACATAAAAGTTTGTGTCCGGAGTTTCTGCTGTTTGCCTCTCTGAGTTGTGTGTGTTGTGTGTAAGAGAGCACTCCCGTTTATGTCGCTTTTCAAGCAGTCCCCAGCACCCTATAGTTTGTCCAGGCTTTTGGGATTGGTGAGAATTTCCCTGGCCAACCTCCAGGTCTGCTTGGCAGCGCTCTCCAGGGCCGAATGGGGCTTGCCCTGAAAAAGGTCGAGGTTGGGCAGAAAGTAGTGAGGGCAGCGGCGGCACTGCAGGCAGGAGATGAGCTGCAGCAGGATGCCGTTGAGCCGATCGCCGAGGCACGCCTCGTCCCAGTCCGTTTCCCGCGGGTGTTTCTCGCACTCATACAGCAGCAGCGTCTTCATGTGGTAGTTATTGAGCGGCTGGCCTGGTAGCTCCAGGTGGCGATCCCGCAGCGTCTTCAACACCGAGAGACACTTGTTTCGGCAGCCGCCCATCAGCAAGCGGTTCTCAGCCTCCCCGAACTGTAGCACCCAGGCGTCGCTCTCCGCAGAGCTCTGCTTGCCGGTCAGTGAGTAGCACTCCTTCGACAGCAAGTTGAACCCTTCGGCTTTGACCTCCGCTACCCGATTGGGGCCAGGCCAGGGGATATGGGGCATAGGCCACTGTGCCGCACTGCGAGGCCAGATACCGGTGCACTTGAACGCAGGAGTGATTTGCACCACGTAGCGCTCCCTGATGCGCAACTTGACCTCGCTGGTGTCTGCGATCATCTTGACCACATCTCGATAGCTGCACTTGTCCACTGCCTGAGCCACCAGGGTCTGGAAACGTGAGCGGATCTTGCGCGCCGAGAGGTAGCCGGACGCAGTGATGAACTCGACCCAGAGAGACATGCTCCGCTTCCGCCCATCACTCAGTTTGAGCACCGCGCAGCCGGGCAGGGAGCCGTCGTCTACGAAGTTGAAGACGCCCATCTGGTTTAGGTAGAGCACCACCTCGAATTCCGTGGGCGAGATGACCTCCAGCCCCTCGTAGCGGGCGTCGATCTCGCTCAAGGAGCTGATGAAGCGAGGCTCCTGCACCTCCACTTCCTTTAGCACGTCCGAGACCACCTTACAGACCTCTCGGATGGTCTTGGCGATGGCCGCCTTGCGCGCTTGGCAGCGCTCAGTGTAGTATTTATTGAGCTGGTAAACCAGCTTGGCCTGAGCCGCGATCATGTTGGGGCACAGGTCCGGGCTATACACCGGCGTCTCGCAATACGTTGAGGGATCCAAGGCTCACGCAGTGGTGGTGGCCCTGCGGCTTGTGAAAGAGGCGTTGCGCTTCCCCTAAGCCCCACTTTCACTCTTGTTTTCCACCTGGGCTGACCGGCCGAAACAACAGCCGGCTTGCTCTTTCTTTCCCCTCTTTCGAAATCTTTTTTTCTTCGCCAGAAAGAAGGGGAAAAAGGTAATCTTTGAAGAAGAAAAGTACCTGCTGGGACTTTTTTGCTTGATGTGTAAAATAAAGATGTGCTTATGAGAGAGATGAAGGGGAGGGGAGAAAAAGAGAAGGGGCGAGAGAAAAAAATCAGGTTACCAAGAGGTTAGGCTTAGATGTCTGCAGCCGAGATTGCCCAGAAATCTGGAAATGAGGTCTTTTAAGTGCCAAAGTAAATTTAAAAATAAAAGCGAAACATTCAGTGTTTCATTCTTAAAAACTTCTTGCACAGCCTGGTAAGACTTCTTCACTCAGCGTAGGTGAGTGCCTTTCTCCTCACCCTCCCCCAAATGGAAGGTGAAGGATGTATTTAAGGTCCAAAGAGCAGCAAAGTGCACCTCAGTCCTCGGCACACTTGGAGGCTTGCAGACGTTCAGCACTCTCCGCGTGATGGTCTGGTCTCTTCTCAGGGGGTCGTGTTGTAGCGGTTTTCCTCTTCTCCTACTGGAGGCGTTGTTTGGACTGGGTTTGTTTGTTTGCAGTGGGCTCTTCCTGTCTTTCTCTAGGTGCACACCGCTGGAAGTTGTTTGATATTCATTTCTGCTTCGTAATTTATAATTTTGGCCCTCACAAAATAGATTTTAGTGTGACGAAGTCGTTGCTTGCGTTGCATCTGGGGTTTAGTTATAAGGATTCAAGGGTTTTTCTTCTCCTCCCCCTTTAGGTTGCTTGTGCAGATTCCACTTTCTGAGTCGTCTCTCCCTCCTCCCCTCCGACGTCTCTCTCCTTTTCCTTTTCCCTCCCTCTTTTTCTTCCTCCCTCCCTCCTTTTCCCTCTCTCTCTCTCTCTCTCTCTTTCTCTCTCTCTCTCTCTCTGCCTTGCTGTTTCCTGGAGTTATTTAGTTTATGAATGGTCCAGGGCCATCATGAGGGGGGTGGAGCTTCAGTTCCTACAATCACTATCCGAGCTGTCAGTGCTTTAGCCAATCCGAGAGAGAAGACAGGCATGCTTGGCAGACAGTAGCAGCCACCGCTGCACTTGATAAAGAAAGGGGGTAAAGAGAGAAGTAGGAAAATAGGAGGAGATAGTGGAAGTCAAATGCTCACACACACTTTACAGCCCCCTTCTTTATCCTCTCCTCTTATCAGTTGCAAGGAAGAAAAAGAGTCTATGGTAGAAGGGACTTCCTGGAGATGGCTGGAATATACGCGAGAGAGTAGCAGTGGTTCAGAAAGGTTCACTATTTTTTTTTCTATCAACGTTGTGCAGAAGGTGAAAACTAACAAAATTACTTTTGCTGGAAGGCAGATAGAAGGAGGAAGGGGAAACTGGGAAAGAACCTACATTTTCTAGATTTTTCTCCTCTGGCAAAGTCTTCCTCCTGTCTCTTCCCCTCCTCTCCCATTGTTGCCAAGAGCCAGAGCAGTTGCTGTATATGTGCACCAGTTGAGGGGGTGTGTGGAGTGGATATGGGGTGAAGGTTTATGACCATAAATCTCTTTTCAGTAATTTCCATATGCTGTTGAAAAATGGGGCAGGGTAAAAATAGTGCAAGCACCTTGTTTGATAATTACTTCATAATTAAGATTCAGATACATTTTATGCTATTACTTTATTGTTAAAAAGACTAGTTATTAGAGAGAAAATATGTTTAAATTGTGAGAAAGTGCACATTTGTATATGGTAGAATATTGTTGGATATGCTTTTAAATTACCATGAGCCAGTAAAATTGTTTTAAAAGATGAAAATGAAGAAGTAAAAGTGAACCTGAGTCAAAGTTTTCTTAAGATGTTAATGTTGTAAATCTAATTTGAATATATTCTCAGGCAGTACAGTTTTCACTTGTAAAAATGATTTTATTTTCATAATTGACTGTTGCTTTTAAAAGACTTCACTGCTGCAGAAATCTATAACTATCCTGTTATTGATTACACAGATGGCTTCACTCCTCCCTTGGCATTTCAGTGAGACTCCTGCATATGCTTTTAGTATATGTATTATACTTTCAAGCTGTACCCCTTGTAGCCTTTCCCTACTTTTGGATGAAAGAAGCTGTAACAATGTTTCTGATTTGCTTAGTATTGAGGGTTTATGTTTTGAGCCTTAGGTGTGTGGATGCGGAGTCTTTTAAAGCCAAATCAAGTAGATGGAATTATTTTTAGTTAAGATTTTTGCCTAAGATATAAGAAATAGTAATCTGTGAAGCCATTTGGGGGAAGACTTCCTTTTGCAAAACCCGGTGTGCCTGTGGCTTTTGCAAAACCCTTTGGGAGGGCGTGAGGTGCCCTCTCCAAAGCTGAACCAGGTGAACCTGAATTCAGCTGCATAGAGAAAGTTTATTTTTCTGCATGTACTTGATGTAAGACACTTTGGACCTCTTGGTTCTTTCTTAGAGGTCTGGTGCGGAAGACTGGTACCTTGTCACTTCCTTGCTCTCTGCCTTAAGCCCCTCTCTAAATAACTAATTGGCTTTTTTTTTTTTTTTAATCAAGTCAGATGTTGTCTGGGCTGTGCCTTCAGTGGCCAGGAGTGTGTAAGTCGGAAGTAAGCATACACCAAATTCTGGGACGCAGAGCTGTAGTCAACTTCTGGTGTAGTGGCAGAGGCTTGGGCGGCTGCCGGCTCCAGCCTTCCTGGGGGAGCAGCTTGCATCTCAGCATGTTTGGCGACAGACGGTTAGAGCGGAGCCGCGGCGTCTTCGCGGTTCGCGCGAGTGGGAAGCCCGGACTCTGTAGGTAACCTGGGTAATGCCCGAGAAGTCACGCTGGCTCTTTGGGAAATGATACTAGGCAGGAGGGGCACTTTGCTGCACATCTGTGCAAACAGCCAGCGAGGATCCTTAGCTCCTTCTCCCGAGGGCAATTACTGGGCGGAGACTTGTGGCGGGGACACCGGGTGCGGAGCTTTCCCTCCCCGACCCTCGTGGTGGCCGCTTCTTCTCACATCGAGCCTGTGAGCGGGGGAGGCCTCACGCGTGGACCCACACGGCCCACGACGCTCCGGGGAGTGCTTGCGAAAAGTCCCAAGGGTCATGGCGGTTGTCTGTCCTCCGCGCTCCAGTGCGGTGCGGCCAGTCCCAGCTCCGTGGGCAGGCGCTTAGCGCCCTTCCTCCTCGGGTGGGGCGGCCGAGGCCACGCGGGTCCTCACGCACTACCCCCTGACACCCCACTCCTCCTCTTTTCCGCGCTCTATCGAGCACGACTAAGTTTCGTGGCACCCTTATTCCTGGGTTTCTCCACTTTTACATACAGAGGCTGAGGGATGATAAAACGTTACAAATGTTTTGATTTAAAAACAATTCATTACCAATTTACTCTGTCTAAGGTAGATGCTGTAGTAAATAATAAATCAGTTAAACAAAGGCGACTTTAATTTATTGCCATGGTACTAATTAGAAACATCATTCGAGCAATAAACTTAAACACTTCCAGCAAATAATGCTCGCTCTTGCTAGTTCCCTTCCTCCCCCTCCCCCACCCTAACTCACTCGGGCTGCCTCTGCCTTAAGAGCTGCTTCAGCTGTGTGTTTGCGGATCCGCTCTTCCTCTGGTTGAATAATTGAAGGGGGAAACGGTATCCGAGGAGGCTGTAATTGAAGAGCCCCTGTCACCTCTGCTTTTATGTATGTTAGTATAGAAGTCCATCAGCAGCTCCTTGATGGTGTATTAAAACGAAGTGGCAGCCCCTTCTGCAGGAGATACCGTATTCTATTAAAGGAGACCAAGTGAGAAAGAAACTCTAGAGGCTAAAAGCCACTTCAAGTCTTCAGACCGATTGATCTGTATTCTCTTGTTATAATCCGTCTCATCATACTTGAGTTAATGAGGCAAAAGAGGGGGAGAGAAATCTGATGGTCCTTGACAAATTCATTAGGGAGGCTGCAGGACATTTTATTTGACTGTTAAACATCTTGTTTGTTTGGTTTAGGCAGTGCCAACATCAGCATGCTTCTGCCCAGACCTGTGATGTTGGGCTAGCTACAGGCATTCCTAAAAAGAAGAGGAGGATATTCAGGGTGTGATTTGAATTTTTTTGTTTTCGATTTTGTGTAGTCCATAACCTTCAGACTTCTTCTCTAGGCTTCACCTTCTCCACCATTACTGTAGGATCATTTTATGAGAATGTGCCTGATAATACTAAGGTGGTGGTGTTTTTAGTGACTGTAAGCCAAAATATGTTTGTTTAAACTTTAGTCTTAAAATTTCCCATTTCCTTAAAATAAAATTGAGTCAAGTTATAGCAATTAGTGTACTAGTTTTTGAAAAATGTGAATGTTTAAGTTAAGCTCCAGACAAATAGCCAAATTATACATTACATCCTATTTTTAACTTATCATACGTAAGTAAACTTTTAGTTATTAATTGAATTTCTTCATGGAATGAAATACGAGTTCAGAGAATTGGAAATAAAATTTAACTGTCAAACAAGATTCTTAAAACAAAGTTGGTATATCTTAATTTGAGGGCCTTTTTCTATTTAAAATTAGAAGCAAAACTGGGTATTATTTGGTGCTAAAATAAGGCGATGTGTTGAAAATTAGAAGCAAAACTGGGTATTATTTAGTGCTAAAATAAGGTGATATGTTGACGGAATACTTAAATTGAAAATAATTGTAACTGAACAATAGGCAATTAAGACAATGCTATTTTTATAATATTTTATTCTAAAATAATAATACAATACTTGATTTTGTCAAAGTTCTTCTTGAAAAAAAATAACCAATCCAGTTGTGATACTTTCTTGCATAGAGAACTCATTCGTATTTTCCTACAGCAGTTGACTTAAACAGCCTCAGCC